GGGACCTGGTGATTGACATGCCTAGTGGCCTATGCGGAAATGCAAATCATATGTATATATACATGATTTTGCACAGCCCTGTCAACCTGTAGCAGTAGTTCTACTATAGGGCGGTGGGGAAGCGGTTAAAAATGCCTTATATTTTTCTACAAATATTATTCACTGTTTTCATACTATGTATTCATGATATACTGTAATTAGATATTTGTTTGTTGTTCACATAAGTATTCTCAGCAGGGTAAAACACCCACTTTTTGAATTATGGGGGCTTAAAAAAAAAAAAAAACCAGAATAACCCCCCCCAAAAAAAAAATCCACAACCCTTGTAATCTCTTGTATCTATACTAAAGCTGGCCATACAGTGATAATTGTTTTACGATCAGCTACTGTCAGAATACAATGATCAACAATGCAGCCAATTGGCTGCATGCACTGAAAGAACGAAAATGTATCAGCAATCCCATTTGAAATGAGTCGATCATTGGCTCAACTCCACTTGAACGGAAACCACTATATATGGATTGAAATTTGGCCGACCCCATTGAATTGACTAATTTTCAAGCCATCTATGGCCAGCTTCAAGTGAAATTCACTTAAAAGTGAAATTCCACTTATCCTCCTGTAGCACTCTCCTAGTTAGACTGCTAGTGTTTTTCAGTTAGGCAAGTTTAGTTTTGCTATCATGTAGCTGTGTATGATTGCTTTGGGCTGCCCTGGGCTCTTCAGACTGCAGGTCTGGCTGCTTACCCGTTTTTCTTGAACTTTCCAGAACATAGTGGGTGGGAGAGTCAGATGAGCAGTCTGAATATTTGTATAAATCCAGCCAATCCCTGAGGAGGCATTGCTCAGAAGGTGGTTGGAGAGTGCATAAATAGGTTGGAGCCTTTGAGAGTTCTTGTCCAGAAGGAAAGGTTCCCAGCCAGAGAAGGCTGCCTGCTATCCTGTTTATTGCTGAAGGTCAAGCCTGCTCATCAGGATCCCAGCCTGTGTTGAGTGGACCTTCTCAGCCACAAACCCTTTCAGGGACCAAAAGGGGTGGGCACTGAAGACCTGTCTTGGAAGTTCACAGGGAGAGCCTGTCTGCTGTAATCAGAGTTGCATTCTATGCTGGAATGACACTGTGGGTACTGACCCAAAGGGGACAAAAATTTCAGTGGCTTTTATCACCCCAGCTGCATAAAGTACAAGACTTGCCTGGCCTGGGATATTGCTTTTGGTGCCACAGTGCTGTCCAGGTAATGTCCCACTGTTTAAAGTGTTTTTAAACCCAGGACCCTGCATTCACTATATCAGGTCTCCCACAGTGCACAGAACATGGAAATGCAATTATTTTAGTAAATATAAACTGCTAAATACCTTTTGTTATCAGCAGTTAGAGCAGTCTTGTAACTTCACTGGTTATAGCTTGTAGGAGGAGTTTTCTTTCTGCTCTAGGAGGATGCAAAACCCCTGACCTCTGTCTGGACAGTGCTGATTGGGCCTGTGCTGATCACATGCACTCTCCCAAGAAAAAAAAAACTCTCTAGCAATACCCACTAAACTGAGCATGTGCAGAAGGGCTATTGGTTCAGTCTGTCTTATCAGCGTGGACATATGAACAATAGGAGGTGCAGTGAAGTCAGGATCAAACAGCCTTTTTACACAATGCAGAGGGTTAAGCCCTTAGATTCCACAGTGAGTATGACAAGCATGCTTTACTGCATATTCAGACTGACTGTACTGTTGTGCGTTAAGTAACATTTTAAGGGACTGTTCAGCAGGGAAAAGTGTCGTCCTTGCTCTGATTAGTAATGTGGAGAATCCTACAGCTCCCTGAACCTACTCAAGGTAATGCTGCAATAAAACATTTAAAAAGGCAACCCTTATGGACTGTGTTTCTGGAATCAAAGTGTGAAAGATGCTGTTTGCCTGGCTGCTGCACTAGCAGGAATAGAACCTAGGACATTAAATCAGCGGCCCTATCTAAGGGTAGCGCTATACTCCTCTTCCTCTAGCGCAGCGGTTCTCAACCTGGGGGTCGCGACCCCTTTGGGGGTCGAACGACACTTTCCCAGGGGTCACCTAAGACCATCGGAAAACACATATTTCCGATGGCCTTAGGAACCGAGACACCGCTCCTTGATCCGTCTCCAGGTGTGGGCGGGATGACATGCCGTCCCTGTCATCTGGACACATCCCCGGGATCAATCCTTCCTCATCGGTGATTGGCCGCCGGAACTGTAGCTCAAGAGAGGCACACAGGCGGCCAATCACCGGCGAGGAGGTGGAGCTTGGAAAGGAGGAGCCGAGCAGCACCGCGAAGCTCGAGCGAGTGAAGAGGAGGAGAGCGGCCGGAGAAGGAAGCCATCTGACCGGTAAGTGTTTGTACCATGGGAGAGGGAGGGAGGGAGCGAGCGAGCGAGCCAGGCTGGAGCAGGGGTCAGCAAGGTAAGTATCATTGGTGTCAGTGGGAGGAATAGTGCCCAATCATTGGTGTCACTATTACCAATGATGGGGCACTATTCCTCCCCCCACTGACACCAACGATGGGGCACTATTCCTCCCCCCACTGACACCAACGATGGGGCACTATTCCTCCCACTGACACCAACGATGGGGCACTATTCCTCCCACTGACACCAACGATGGGGCACTATTCCTCCCACTGACACCAACGATGGGGCACTATTCCTCCCACTGACACCAACGATGGGGCACTATTCTCCCCTGACACCAATGATGGGGCACTATTGCTCCCCCTGACACCAACGATGGGGCACTATTGCTCCCCTGACACCAATGATGGGGCACTATTCCTCCCACTGACACCAATGATGGGGCACTATTCCTCCCACTGACACCAACGATGGGGCACTATTCCTCCCACTGACACCAACGATGGGGCACTATTCCTCCCACTGACACCTACGATGGGGCACTATTCCTACCACTGACACCAATGATGGGGGCACTATTCCTACCACTGATACCAATGATGGGGCACTATTCCTACCACTGACACCAATGACGGGGCACTATTCCTCCCACTGACACCAATGACGGGGCACTATTCCTCCCACTGACACCTATGACGGGGCACTATTCCTACCACTGACACCAATGATGGGGCACTATTCCTACCACTGACACCAATGATGGGGCACTATTCCTACCACTGACACCAATGATGGGGCACTATTCCTACCACTGATACCAATGATGGGGCACTATTCCTCCCATTGACATCAGTGATGGGGCACTATTCCTCCCGCTGACACCAATGACGTGGCACTATTTCCTCCCACTGACACCAATGACGTGGCAATATTCCTCCCACTGACACCAGTGACGTGGCACTATTCCTCCCACTGACACCAGTGACGTGGCACTACTCCTCCCACTGCAAAATTACAGTTATGAAGTAGCAACGAAAATAATTTTATGGTTGGGGGTCACCACAACATGAGGAACTGTATTAAGGGGTCGCGGCATTAGAAAGGTTGAGAACCACTGCTCTAGCGGGACTTTGTTGGGGGGAGAGCAGGTTTCTTTTTCTGACAAGTACCTGCCTCCACTTTGCTTTTTTTGCAGCCGGAGTGAAGACCATGCTGGATTCCTGGGCTGGTAAGTGCCTGATTAATAAAACTTTAAGACTTTGTTTTTTAAAAAATGATTGTAGATCCTCTTCATAAAACCTCAGTTTCCATACAGTTACAAAAATAACCTTCAGTTTTCCATTTTATTTTATATTTACAGTTTGTACAGACTCATATGCTTGGTTACTTTCCCTTTCGGGTTCCGTTTTTATTTTCTTGCAGTGTGAGGATCTGGTCTTCTACTATGACTGACTTAGTCTGTTTGTGTTTAAATTAAAGATACTGTATGTATAATGAGGCAACTTTAAATGGTGAGCAATGCATGCAAGAAGGCCCAGAGGGGTTTTATTTACAGTTTGCCATCCTATCTCTGCACACACACTTAACCCTGGCTTTCAAAGATAACAGGTTTGAAAAGCAGTTGCCGGTTGATGGAGCCAATGAGAGCTATTTCTAAGTGTACAGATGAAAAATGCTTTGAATATACTACATAGGAAAAGAAAGAAAAAGTGAATTTGTTAGTCGTGCTCACACATTTGAGAATTCTAAAAGTAAATAGTATATGAAAAATCTAATTTTCTTGCTTTATTTTCACTTTCTGTTTTAGTAACTAAGAGTAGGGCAAAGTTGCATGATAAAATGTATTAGCCTTTGTAGAAACTGTTATATTTTATTATATCATAGCATTTAGTTCTGAATCCACTTCTTTTATTTCTTTTATTAGAATCTTTAATTTAATTAGAATGCTTAATGAAGCAGAGGTCACATTTTGATTTAAAGAAAAAAAAAACATATATTTTTACAACACACTTATAAAAATGTGCATAGGTCAGCACAGTCAGCTTCTGCCAGATTTCTGCAGAATTTTTTAATGTTTGTTTGTAGAACAATGCATGCTTCTCTATAATTAGAAAACAGAAAAACATTTACAAAGAATTTGAATTGGACCTCTGAGTAAATCTACAAATCTGTGGGAATGCAGATTTCACATCTCCATTAAAACCAGTTCTGTTCCTGAGCTCCAGTTAAGTGATTTTGCTTAAAGGCAAATGTTTTTTTTTTCTACTTTGGATAGCGTTATAAACCATGTCAGGTTTTTTTTGGCGTTTCTATTGAGATTTCCCTTCACTTCCTGTCCCATAGCTTGATAGCTGTTCTATTCCCTCTCCACTCTATCTAAAACAGAAAAAAAAATTCCTTTAGTTATACTCTAACTGCTTCCATACTCTAACTGCTTCCCAACCGACCTATAGCAGAAATACTGCTACAGGGCGCTACGGGTGTACAAAATCACACATATATACGTGACTTTGCATTTTGCAGCTGCGGCTGTCAATCACTGGGTCCCAGCTGGTGATTACTCACTGGCGCCAAGGATCTCCGAAGGGGAGGAGAACGGTTTGTAAACAAACCAGTTCTCCTCCCTGTCAACTCCTGCACACTGCTTTGAATGGCTGTGCACAGCACAACCATGCAAAGTAGTGTGCTTACAGTGAAGCACAAACACATGGCCCCATAGTAAAACACACCCAGCACACAGTTAACCCTTTGATCACCCCTCATGTTAACCCCTTCCTGCCCAGTGCCATTATCACAGTGTTAGTGGGTTTTTTTTAGCACTTATCACTGTATTGGTGTCACTGGGGATTTCAGTGACACCAAATCAGTTCCCCCCAGTGTCAGAATGCCTGCCGCAGTCCTACTATAAGTTGCTGATCGCCGCCATTACTTCTAAAAATAAAAAAAAAATCCCAGTATATATACCGCCATTTGTAAACGCTATAACTTTCACGTAAACCAATTAATTTACACGTATTGGGATTTTATTCTAGCAAAGTCATGTAGCAGAATACATTTTGACCTAAATTTATGATGAAATTAGTTTTTTAACATTTTTTTACTGGACATGTTTAATAGCAAAAAGTCAAAAATATAGTTTTTTTCTCAAAATTGTAGTTGTTTTCTTTTTACAGCGCAAAAAATAAAAAACACACAGGTGATCAAATACCACCGAAAGAAAGCTCAATTTGTGGGAAAATGGGACGTAAATTTCATTTGGGTGCAGTGTTGCATGACTGCGCAATTGTCAGTTAAAGTAATGCAGCACCGTAACACAAAAAATGGCCTGGTCAGTAAGGGGGTAAATCCTCAGGAGGGCAAGTGGTTAAAGTATATATAAAGCTTAACCCTGTAAAATATAAAAAAAAGAATATAAATACTCCCCCCCCCCCTTTTTTTTTTTTTAATTTTTAATAAGTGATCACATACCTTCTATTCTCAACTGCATAAGGAGCTCAGGTAGTAGAAACAGCAGTACACTAGTCTTTCCAGTGAATGACTGTGCGTGGGGGGGGGGTGGGGCATCATAACAAGTCTGATCATTGGAGGAGTACATGCTGAGTCCCAGAACAGCCAGGTCACTGACCACACTGTGCTCTCATGCCTAGTGTGGTCACTTTTTTTTAATAGGAAAGCAGCGTTACTGGCAGGAACACTAGAAATTCACACAAAGGAAGCAATACCAAGAGAACAGGATACTTTTTCATACAAGTACATGGTAAAGCAGGCATATACCAAAAATATGAAATGTTGGGTTTACATATTCTTTAAAGCTGAATTTCTTGTTCTTCCTATTGCATAGTTACATGGTTTAGCTTGGACCAATGTGAGTATACATATTCCGTACCTGGTCAGTGCCTGTGAAAGCAGAGAATCACTGTAGTAGCTGCGCTATAACAGTGATCCTCACTGTTTTCTGTATCCAGTGCTAAGCCACAGGGCTTTTCTCAATGAATGCAAGGCATTGGACAAGGTGGAGATTGTGACATCACAGTCCCATCTTGCTCAATGAGAGAACGCTTTGCATTTATTGAATAAAATGCAAGGCATTCTCTGAATGCCTCCTGTGCTGAGTAAGTGACTACTTGTGGTTACTCTGAAGAGGGGCAGCCACTTGGCACGAGACTCAGAGGACAAAGAAGATCACTATCCACATATACTTCAGCGATTCTCTGCCTCCACATGGCTTCACCAGATATGGAATGTGTATGTAGGGACCTGCTGCCCTCTACTATTTGTGTAAATAACTGTTTATGTACATCACTTCCTGCCGAGAGAGAGAGAGCGCGAGCACATGTGCGCATGGAAGAACTGTGGTTATTCCAGACCAGAAGCAGAGTTTATTAAGCAAATGGGCAGCAGGTTCTATACATAGACCATACAGTGAGGAACAGAAGTATTTGAACACACTGCGATTTTGCAAGTTCTCCCACTTAGAAGTCATGGAGGGGTCTGAAATTCACATTGTAGGTGCATTCCCACTCTGAGAGACAGAATTTTAAAAAAAAAAATTTAGGAAATCACATTGTATGATTTTTAAAGAATTTATTTGTCTTGCACTGCTGAACATAAGTATTTGAATATGTCAGGGAGCGAGAAGCCAGACACACAAGGAGGTGCAATTAAAGGTAGGTTTGTTATACAAAAACAAGACAGAGTCTATGCAAGTCCAACAGCAACAGCGGATGACTTGGTAGAACAGTAGCCAGGAAGGATGGTCGCCAGAGCCGGGGTCAGAAGCCAGGAAGGATGGTCGCCAGAGCCGGGGTCAGAAGCCAGGAAGGATGGTCGCCAGAGCCGGGGGGTCAGAAGCCAGGAAGGATGGTCGCCAGAGCCGGGGTCAGAAGCCAGGAAGGATGGTCTCCAGAGCCGGGGTCAGAAGCCAGGAAGGATGGTCTCCAGAGCCGGGGTCAGAAGCCAGGAAGGATGGTCTCCAGAGCCGGGGTCAGAAGCCAGGAAGGATGGTCGCCAGAGCCGGGGTCAGAAGCCAGGAAGGATGGTCGCCAGAGCCGGGGTCAGAAGCCAGGAAGCGCCAGGCCGGGGTCAGAAGATGGAAGGATGGTCGCCAGAGCCGGGGTCAGAAGCCAGGAAGGATGGTCGCCAGAGCCGGGGTCAGAAGCCAGGAAGGATGGTCGCCAGAGCCGGGGTCAGAAGCCAGGAAGGATGGTCGCCAGAGCCGGGGTCAGAAGCCAGGAAGGATGGTCGCCAGAGCCGGGGTCAGAAGCCAGGAAGGATGGTCGCCAGAGCCGGGGTCAGAAGCCAGGAAGGATGGTCGCCAGAGCCGGGGTCAGAAGCCAGGAAGGATGGTCGCCAGAGCCGGGGTCAGAAGCCAGGAAGGATGGTCGCCAGAGCCGGGGTCAGAAGCCAAGAAGGATGATCGCCAGAGCCGGGGTCAAAAGCCAGGAAGGATGGTCGCCAGAGCCGGGGTCAGAAGCCAGGAAGGAGTCTTGCCAAAGCCGAGTTGGTATCCAGGAGAGCAATGAGAAACTAAACAGGAGCTTGCTGCTGTGCAACAGACAGGACACGAATGCAATGGACAGCTACAAACAGCAGACTTATATGTGATAAGCCGCCACCTCCTGGGGGAGGAGCCGCAGAGGGCTGAAAGCATAAAGGATCCCACAATGCTTTGCAGACACCTAAGATGTATACCAGCACGTGGAGCAGCACAAGCCCTGAGGAAAGGTAGGACCTTGACAGAACACCTGAGAAAATCAGTGTTAATATTTGGTACAAAAATCTTTGTTTGCAATTACAGAGGTCAAAGCTGAGCAACACGGAGTTTCAGCTCCCTCCAAAGATGTTCTATTGGATTTAGGTCTGGAAACTGGCTAGGCCACTCCAGAACCTTGATATGCTTTCTTACTGAGCCACTCCTTGGTTATCCTGGCTGTGTGCTTTGGGTCGTTGTCATGTTGGAAGACCCAGCCACGACCCATCTTCAATGCTCTGACTGAAGGAAGGAGGTTGTTGCTCAAAATCTCACAATAAATGGCCCTATTCATCCTCTCCTTCATACAGTGCAGTCGTCCTGTCCCCTTCGCAGAAAAGCACCCCCAAAGCATGATGTTACCACCCCCATGCTTCACAGTAGGGATGGTGTTCTTGGGATGCAACTCATCCTTCTTTTTCCTCCAAACACGACGAGTGAAGTTTAGACCAAAAAGTTTTACTTTGGTCTCATCTGACCACACGACTTTCTCCCATGCCTCCTCTGGATCATCCAGATGGTCATTGGCAAACTTCAGACGGGCCTGGACATGTGATGACTTGAGCAGGGGAACCTTCCGTGCAATGCATGATTTGAAACCATGATGGCGTAGTGTTCTACCGACAGTGACCTTTGAAACTGTGGTCCCAGCTCTCTTCATGTCATTGACCAGCTCCTCCCTTGTAGTTCTGGGCTGATTCCTCACCTTTCTTATCATCAGTGATACCCCACGAGGTGAGATCTTGCATGAAGCCCCAGTCCGAGGAAGACTGACAGTTGTCTTTAGCCTCTTCCATTTTCTAACAATTGCTCCAACAGTTGATCTATTTTCACCAAGCTGCTTGGCAATTGCCCCGTAGCCCTTTCCAGCCTTGTGGAGGTCCACAATTTTGTCTCTGGTGTCTTTTGACAGCTCATTGATTTTGCCCATGGTAGTAGTCGGCGTCTGACTGACTGTGGGGTGGACAGGTGTCTTTAAAGAGCTCAGACAGGTGCTACTAAGTTAGATTATTGAGTGGAGTAGAGGTGGACTTTTTAAAGGCACAGTAACAGGTCTTTGAGAGCCAGAATTCTTGCTGTTTCTTAGGTGTTCAAATACTTATGTTCAGCAGTGCAAGACAAATAAATTCTTTAAAAAATTATACAATGTGATTTCCTTAATTTTTTTTTAAATTCTGTCTCTCAGAGTGGGAATGCACCTACAATGTGAATTTCAGACCCCTCCATGATTTCTAAGTGGGAGAACTTGCAAAATCACAGGGTGTTCAAATACTTATGTTCCTCACTGTATGTGCAACTCTGCATGTAGTTTAAGGGGACCCCCTAGGCATGATATTTAAAGGAATTTTTCAATTTATTTTTTTTTACTTTAAGCAATGAAAAATGACTTTAAAAACTGTACTTTTTGAATTTTTTTTTCACTGATTCATGTCCCTCAGTGCAGTACCCGAGTCCCCATATACCTTTATGGCAAATAACTTGCATATAAGCCTTCAAAATGGGCACTTTTGAATTTCAACTGCCATAGACTTGCATTACATTTGATGTTCGTGGTAGAATTTTCTTTTGGTTCGAATGTTCAACCGTGAACCAAACAGGGATGTTCAGACCATCTATAGTTAATAGTTTATTATTTTGCCCTTAGCTTCTGGTTACTAAACCCAGGACCCTGCATCCACTATATCTGGTCTCCCACAGTACACACAACATGGAAATGCAATTATTTTAGTAAATATAAACTGCTAAATATGCATTTATCATCAGCAGTTAGCGCAGTCTTGTGACTTCTATCAGTGTCCAGCCCACCACTAGCTAAAGCTTGTAGGAGGATGCAAATCCCCTGACCTCTGTCTGGACAGTGCTGATTGGCCCTGTGCTGATCACATGCATTCTTCCAAGAAAAAAAAAAGCAAAACCTCTCTAGCAATACACACCAAACTGAGCATGTGCATGCCTTTCGGTTCAGTCTGAAGATAAGAGGTGGTCGATTGAAAAAGGGAAGAAACAGAGAAGAAAGGATCAAACAGCCTTTTTACACAATGCAGAGGATTAACCCCTTAGGTTCCAGAGTGAGTATAACAAGCATGCTTTACTGCATATACAGACTGATTTTACTGTTGTGGGTTTAGTAACACTTTAAAGACTGGTGACAGAAGTATATATGTTCATTTGTTATTATCTCAGATGCACTATAGCAGTTCGGTATGTGACTCGTAGTTCGTTTGTAGTGGGCACTTTGCTGTTTGTTAGTAGGTGAACC